CAGACTGAGAGAGATAGACACACACACAGACTTAGAGAGACACACACAGACTGAGAGAGAGACACACACAGAGACACACAGACTGAGAGAGAGACACACACAGACAGAGAGAGACACACACAGACTGAGAGAGAGAGAGAGAGACACACACAGACTGAGAGAGAGAGAGACACACACAGACTGAGAGAGAGAGAGACACACACAGACTGAGAGAGACACACAGACTGAGAGAGAGAGACTCACACAGACTGAGAGAGAGAGAGAGAGACTCACACAGACAGAGAGAGACACACACACACAGACTGAGAGAGAGAGACACACACACACAGACTGAGAGAGAGAGAGACACACACACACAGACTGAGAGAGAGACACACACACAGACTGAGAGAGAGAGAGAGAGAGACACACACAGACTGAGAGAGAGAGACACACACACAGACTGAGAGAGAGAGAGAGAGAGAGAGAGAGAGAGACACACACAGACTGAGAGAGAGACACACACACACAGACTGAGAGAGAGACACACATACACACAGACTGAGAGAGAGAGACACATACACACACAGACTGAGAGAGAGAGACACACACACACAGACTGAGAGAGAGAGAGCCACACACACACAGACTGAGAGAGACAGACAGGGAGACAGATGGAGACGAGAGAGCGAGAGCGCCCTTACAGAAGATGATTTTTAACACACTACAGGTTAAATTGTTTAAAATTGTTTAAAAAGTTAAATTGTTTAAAACATTTTGCACTGTATTTACAGCACAATACATCAAATGAAAATTAATGATCACATTTTTGAGTTGCTCTTATTTTTTGGAAGTCAGTCGGGGACTGTTGTATTCAACTGCTACACTTAATACACATATATCGATATCGTTACAAGAAAGACTTTCGATATACGTAAAAAAAAAATGATTTTGTTAGTATTACCTTTTTGTTTCATCCAAAGTTCGCCCATTAATATAAAGTAATCGTTGAAATCTAGACTCTTGGATTATTGACGAATAGGCGCTTACCGTTTATAGATTCGCGTTGTAGTTTACTTCATTTCTTTTCGTTGATTTCTACGTATTTATGATGTAAATGTTTAATTATTAAATAAATCATTAAACTGATATAATACATTTTAAATTTTCTAATTGGTGTCACTCGGGGCGGGCCGCCCCTCAAACCCCTAACTATGCCACTGATGATTATGATGATGATGATTAGTGTTATTATTGTTGTTATTAATGTTATCATCATCATTATATTTTCAATTGTAATTTACTTGCATGGTTGAAGGTAAAGGTGATGGTGTTAATTTAGTTATTCATTTCAACATTACCTGTCCTTGGGTCTAACATAAATTTATATTATGCTTTATTTTTAACTTACGCTCTGTGGCCTGCCGAAACATTAGTTTTTCTAAAAATAAACAAACATGCTTTCTATTGTATAAAAAAACAACAAAAGTTTCTTCTACTTTAAAACTTTGAATTTAAGGGCAACTGATTTTTCTTATAATAAATAAGTATTCATTTATTATTACTTTTCAACAATTATTAACTCACCATGCATGATTGTAATTGCATACATGACTCAATTATAATTAATATTATTATTATAATTAATATTATTATAATTAATATTAATTATAATTAATATTATTATAATTAATATTATTATAATTAATATTATTATTAATATTAATATTAATGTTAATATTAATATTTGTAAGCCATGCCTCTAAGCTTCATAGGCGTTGTTTACTGCCATTCTGAGACATAATAGATAATCGAAACATAAACATAAGAGATAATCCTTTTTCCCCTACAGAATTTAGAGCATTTTTGAAAACCATTCAGTAATAATTAGGATTTTTGAATATAAGATTCATTCATAGAAATTTCGTGAATTATTGTTTAGTTATTGCAAAGAACCCATGTGATTCAAATCACGTGTTATTTTCTAACATTGTTTAAATTATGTCAATGGGGGAAAAATCTTCGATTTACTGACTGTTGAATTAACCAGATTTCTTGGAATGATAATTTACTTTGCCAGTTTCTATGCATCTTTTAAGAAGCAATTTTTTATACTAATTTCAGATATATGCTGAATATTGCATGTGCCTTAGAATACTGTCACAGCAGGAAGATACTTCATCTTGATGTAAAGCCTAAGAATATTTTACTCTCCATTTCGGCTAACATCTGTAAATTGTGTGATTTTGGATGCTCAGTTCACATCGATGATTTGGATTTTCTTCAGACAAAAAACTTGGGAGTTGTGAGTACCTACTGTTGCACTTTTCATTTCAATCTGCAATTGATGCTCTTGGTTAGTTCAATCTCTGTTAAAATACATCTTTACACCCAGAATACTATATGTTACACTGATCCTCAATTGTTGTGTGGTGAACGACCTTCACCCAAATCTGATGTGTATTCATTTGGTATCACCATGTGGCAAGTGATATCCAATGAAGTGCCTTACGAAGGAACAGAAGGTCATACAATTATATACAAGGTATTTCTATGAAATTCTTTTGCTATATATCTGTAAACTATTTTTCTATGAAACTATTATGGTATTTGTGTTGATTGTCCAACAGTTAAAAAATGGAAATATTTTCTTTTAATAAATTATGATATTGTTTGTAAGGTAAAAAATTTTCAAATACTAAAACCATGAAAAAAAGCTTAGCTGAATAAATATTTAAAAAAATTAATTCTGTGGAAAATTCTAATTCAGTGCACTTTCAGAATTCATTTGAATCTTGTGTTCAGGTTGTTTCAGAAAACATGCGTCCAAAAGTAATGCAGGGAACAACTCAATATGATAAAAGATACATTGATCTGTATCAAATGTGTTGGAATGCTCAGCTAAAATTAAGACCTGAGATGACATTCATTGTTGAAGAAATTAAAAATCTACTAAGAGAGAAGGAGTTAGAGAAAATTGATGATGAACAATTTAGTTAATGTTGGTCATTTCCAAGCATCATGACTTCTAGCAAACATTAAATTTGTCAAATGGAGCTTCAGAAACAAGATTGCTCCATTTTCCTTAAAAGTTCTAACTGAGAGGTAATCATGTCTATCTGGATAGAGAACTCGGAATCAATATAGGTGTTTTGTTATTTTTAATGTATTCTATACTTGAAGAACTTGCTAAACAATCAGTATTTTTCTTCTTCTTAATTTTGTAACGGATTTCATTTTAATTGAACAGCTTGATATTTATTGACCTTTTATGTATTAAATAGATGTGGTATTTACAAGTCTCATTCATAACTATTGATACAATTTACATAATAGTATTGAACTACGTTTCAGTTTACTTAGATAATGAATCATGAGAAATGTGTATAGAAACAAGTGTTATTCAAAAAGGAAAATAAATGTCCTAAAATTAGATAAGTGACAAAGGCCAGTTATGTAATTTTATATTTTCACATTTAAATTTGTACCAAAATAAATAAATCCCTGTCAATACATTTAGTATGTGAAAATAAGCAAGTTAATTATTTATAGTAGTAATTAAAAGTCCATATTTATTATTCTGATAATTCTACATAATATAAATATTTTGCATTATTTATTTGTTATAATTTCTCTGCTTTATTTTCCTATAATTACAGTCACTCTCTTACATGTTTGTTAACTTTGTCATACATATCAGGAAATGCTTCAGTTGCATTCAATTTATTTCTCATTTGCTTGTATAAACTAAAGTCAAACATTTCTTCAAATTCTTCTCTCGTAGCATAAGTATCTGCATACAACATCTGGAAACTATTCATGGAATATTGAAATGGTTATCATATCATAGCTTTTCTGGAATACTGTTGTGACTCAAGAAAACTTTTGAGGTAAACTGGTTCCCTAAAATATTTTTCACGAGAAATAAATGTGTATTCCCGGCACTACACTAATTGCTACTGGGAAGCAAATGCATCACTATTTCATGGATAGAGATTGACATTTAGTTTTATGGAATAATGTTGCCCAAATATTCAGTTTTATAAAATTAATTTTCATAAAAGTAAAAAAGTAACAGATGTATACCGTTTTTTAAAATATAACCTGCAAGGTGAATTACTTATTGTTGATTAATGAGAAACTAATGAATTTGAGGAGAAATTAAATCATGCTCTCTGGTACAAAACAGGTCTTCTTGATACAACAGTATTCTAGAAACGTAATGATGTATTAAGAATTGAAACTACTGTTAAAAAGCAAGTTAATATAATAAAATATTGATGACAGCCACAGCAAACTCTTATAATAAAATAACTTAATATCTTAGTATTTAGTGCAAAGTTTCAAGATGTAACACATATTTTTTTTAGAAAACTCAGAATGATCAAATAAATAGCAATACTTGGGACCAGTTTAGGTGGCTCGGGGCATCAATCGGTCACTACAGTGCATCTGACCGGTAGGTCCGCGGCCGACTGCTCTGATCGGTAGTTTTTCTGGTTTCTCCGATCAACACCAGGCGAATGCCAGAGCAGTCAAACATCGAGGCCACGATCTGCACGTGATCTTTCCTTCCTCTTCCTTGCCCTATCCTCACCTTTTACATCCACTTACATTTACTACACTACCACACATATCGGGAGAGCAGTCGGGAGTGACGCGCACTGAAACCTCAGACAATCAAGCAATCCTTTCCATAGAGATATTCCAGTGATGAGTTGTGCCCTCAAGGTTCACAAGATGTAGATGATTTTTCGTAATTTCAGCATTCTCATCGAAAGTCCAACGAGGAGTAACTCAGTATAAAACTAATGCTCCACATGCACATACTTTCTCGCATTATTGTAAAGACACTGTAATATTATAGAAGTATGTGAACTTTAAAAATGTTTCCAACCAGTAAAAATGATTCTCCGCGCCAAGAGTCAAACTCAGGTCCATTGAGTTCACACGCCTAGGACTCCCATGCGCTGGACCGATACACCACAGCGTTCTGCTAGACTCACATTTACCGACGCAAAACTAATGGTCTGTCCTATTATTTCCAATACTCAATTTACGAGAACTCGGGAAGTATAACGAAAATTACACAATTGTAACGTCATGGATACTCACAGCGACCACAGACACAGAGCTTTCGTATAACAAATATATTTATTAACAAGAAAACAAACAAATATATACACTTAATAATCTACTTAAACCCTAGCTCTGATAGACCTACTATCCCCTGATCGCGGGAGCGATCCAAAACCCGATTGAAGATGGTTTTGATTGTGGCATTCGCCACTCCTACTTTTGAAGCGCGCACAAAGCCTAGCTTCCGTGACCGGATGTCACGCTGGGACACAAAGTCCGTTCTGGCGCACCAACGGCTGGTTTGCCTCGATCGCAGGAGCGATCTTATCCGATTGAGAATCGGCGTGAATCGTGGCACTCAACCACTCTTCACCTCGGAGCACGCACACAGCATCGCTCCCCCGTGACCGCAGTCACCCAAGGACATAAAGTCCGCAGGCTTCGTCAACTAATGACTCCAGCCTCGCGAGCCTGGCTCGCATATGCACCGTCTTGGCGCCAAGTTTTGTGCACACGCACGAGGTTCTCCCACCGTCTCCAGAACCTACCTACTGGCTCTGTACACTCAGTTATATAGGCGAGGCTCACGTGACCTACTACGTCACGCCACCCCCTCGCTTGTTATAACAGTGAAAAGCTTCTATAAGCCGGAAACTCCCAAAGCCTTGTCTCTCCCGTCTCCGCGTTCTTCCCTTTACGGAAAAACCCTTCTTCCTGTGGCGAGACTAATCCGCAACCAAGCGTCCCCAAATAGATGCCATGAGGCACGCTGGCTAATACGTTACACAATCTTATTTTTAAGCATCTTTGCTTTATCCGTGGAAAAAAATTGAAGGAAACACTGAGAGCTCTTTTAGAGAATTTTTTTTAAATTATAAAATGCAAGCAGAAATTTCGAGAAAAATATTCTTAGTGCAATTAGATTACTCTTGTCTTTTTTCGTCTACATAGATGCAACGCGCCTTCGAGCCCCTTGGGGGGGCATTGATGTTTTATGCTTTTGGAGTAGTCCTCCATTAATTTCTGCGCGGGAGAAATCCTCCATTGATTGTTCACTTTGTCCGTCACGACTTGTCTCAGTTGTGAAGACGTCCGCAGAGTCAGTTGTCAAGAGGACCGCCTGGTAGTATCTCCGCACACGCGTCTCTCTTACGCGCGCCTGCGTCACTCGCTAGCGGTCAGAAGGAATTAGGATTGAGATAGGGTTTAGGACACTTCAGGGGGGTTGGACTAGCCCTTGTGAAGCAGCCTTGATTGTCCGGGAATCGAAACTGAGCCTCATTGGTGACTGGCGAGCGACTTCGCTCTGAGCAACCGAGCCAGCCTTTAAAAAAAAATACATTACGTTTATTAAACATTTTTGGCACAGATTTCATGGAAGACAAACATATCTAAAATATTTTTCAAATTTTCCAAAATTCAGATCGTTTAACGAAAATGAGATTTTGTGCCCTTTTTCTATGCATAAAAAATCAAAGAAAAAGTTTTGATGTTTTTTGATTTTTTTTATAAATTGCATTAATTGCAAGCAGAAATTACGCGAAAACTAATAGTTTGTTTTTCAAAAAATTGTACATGACCTTGTAAAGATCTTATTTTTACATTCTCGTGTACTGTTTACGTAGTATAGAGAAAATATTCTAATACTACTGGAAAATATGGTGATTTTTCGACAGAAAAACCTTTACTTCTGGGCAGTAATAACGAAAAAGTGGATACATTTTGTTCCCCGTGTGTAGTAAATTGCAACGTTTAATGCGTTCCGTCGTCAGAATTAATGTTTTGTGGTCCTTGACACAGCAAAATCGATTGTCAGCGAAACCTGTCTGTTGCGAACATTCGCGCCTATATCGTTCAGCCGATTTTCACCAAAATTGACATTCCCCGGTCGATCAGAGCGACCTCAAGGCCCTGAGAGTATGATACTGATATTTTGATTTCTGGGGGGTAATTTTTATGAAGTCTAAACATTTTTCGAAATTCTTCAACAATGGCTCCAAATTTTTATTGGACTGTGTCCTCGGGTAGCGTAAGGAACTCATGAGAAAGTTACGTGAGACTCCTTTTCGTTGAAACACATTGAAATTTGGAAAAGTTTGAAGTTTTCTTTGGCGATTTCCTACAACTACAAAATTGAAGGTATATTGTTTTTAAAAAAATGTATTGCTTAAAGACAGTTCTTTAAGATCATGTACAGTTTTTCGAAAACAAGTTGTTTATGCGTAATTTTGCGTGAACTATTAACAGTTTTTAATCAATAGTTTTCACAAAAACGGTTCTAAGTTTATTCTTTGAACCTCCATTTTCGTTGAACACTCTGAATTTTTGAAAAATGCAAATATTCAAACTTTTTTTCGTCTTTCTACAACTTTATAGTTGAAGATAGTTTTTTTTTCTTAATGAAATATGTTCAACAAAAATAGAGCTTCAAAAAAGGACATGTTCAATTGTTAAAAAAGTTAAGTAATTTTTGTTTAATGTTACGCGATACAGGAATTTTAAACAATTTTTATCAATTATTTTCTCAAAATCGGCACCAAATACTTTCTTTTAAATGTATGTAAAGGAAGGACAGCAAAGAAAGTGTCGCCGGTCCGTTTCCGACGGATTCTTCGTATTTTCAAAAAATACGAACAAAAAAATTATATTAAAAAAGTTACGTCTGTATGACGCCAGATAATTTTTTGTTAAAGAAATGTATTCTAAATCATTAGTTCTTTAACTAGTGATGCTAAAACAGCACATACTTTCTCGCTCCTTAGTAACGGTTATGCAATAATATTATACCGCATTTCTGTCTATATCAACACATCTCATTCGATGAGCGCTGACAACAAAGCGTGCATGCAGCGATGGGTGCTGCCAACAATGGGCACATATTTTCTTATCAATTCTTCCTAATAGCGCCATTTTTCGTTATAGGAAGGTGATCCGTAGTTGGTGTGAAACCTGTGTGAATATTTGATTAATATCAAGCAAACATTGCGCAAAACTACTCTTTTTTTTTCAAAAAATTGAATATGACTTTTTTTGAAAATCTAATTTTGTACAACAGACTTTGTCTGAGGCAAAAATCTCTATCTTCAATTTTGTAGTTTAAAATGTTATTTTAATTATCAAAAATCCCTGAAATACCCGAAAATATGACTACAAAAATAAAAAGATATCCGTTTGAAATTTCCAAAGCCTCGCGTTCATTCCGATGGATTGAGGAATATCAATTTTAAAGAAAATCGGCTGAACGGGTTAGGTGCTAGCATTGACCAGGGACGGACGCAGTCACGGACGGACAGACGTTTTGCCGTCAAACGATTTTTCAGTGTGAAGAATGAACAAAACATGGATTCTAGCTACACCACGAGTTAGAGTTTTTTTTTCTAAATTTAGCAACAGGATTTATCCAGATCTTCGTTGCCAGGACCCGGCAGTGGGTTTTTTCTGACAAAATTTCGGCCTTTTCTGGCGTACGATTACGTAACTTTTCTTACGAAGAATTTGTAAGGCGAGAAAGTAAAAAAGGGCATATACATTTTGTTAAAAATGAGTAGTTTAGCACAGGCTTTGTTGCCTCTGGGCATCAACTGATGTCACTGCACTGCCTCTGACCGGGAGGTCCTAGGGTTAGAGTCCGGTGGTGGCAAGATTTTTGTCACTAGCTAAAAATCCATGTCAAATTCAGCTGCTGAATGCTCTGATCGGTAGTTTTCCATGATTTCTTCGATGTGCACCAGGCGAATGTCGGAGCAGTACCCTAACCAACGGGCTACGGATCAACGCGCTATCTTTCCTTAATCTTCGTTCGCCTATCTTCAACCCTTACTTATACACACGTACATGCATTACACTACCACGCATCTCGGGAGACGACGGGCTGTTAGTGCTTGTCTGAGAAACCTAGCTGGAAAAACTCCGTAAACTGACGTATAGGTCGGCGCAGGCTCTTTCCAGCTAGCGGAGGAGAATCACCGCTGCCACCTGTGACAAAACATGTACTACACCTACCGGCATAATGACCACATCATTTGTAGAGCTCGGAAAGCTTCAGTCAATAGTAATGTAGCGTTCTTTTGTTGAAATTGCTAATTCGAATTACCCGCACTCTATTTGCTGTCACGGATTTGTATCAGATTGCAATTCGACGATAGTAACTCTGCGCCGTGTCACAGCAGTTTGAAATTCTGAGAATTTCTTTCCTTTGTAGAGACATAATATGGCTG